GAAAGAGTGAGCTCTTAAGTGGCTGTTTCTTAAATATTCCAAAAAATAGAAAGTAGCGCACCACGTAAGTGCTGACCGTCTCCGTGACCACACTCCGGACGGGGGCTTTGGAACTGGCAGATCCCGAGGCGGCGGGGGCCGGAACGGGCATCCCGGTGAGGGGCGTGCTGGCCGGGGCCAGAAGGGGCAAAGGCATGGGGGCGGGGGTGACGTGCACGGGGACAGGAGCGGGGGCCGCCATGGGCGGCGGCGTCTTGGGTCTGTTCAGAGAAGGCGCCGGCTTAGCCTCGGGGGCTGGGACCACTTTGCTGATGACACTGTCAACAAAAGAGAGAAAAGGAAAAGTCAAAACACATAGTTGAGTCAAGCCAGGTAGCTAAAAACATGATCGCACAATCACTTGGTTCTTCTAGCAGCAAAAGACTTTTTGGAGAGTCCAGAGAGCGATGGAGCTCAGGGTTAAGGCCCTTCCCCAACCTGCTTCCCCGCTTACTCGGTCACAGCTGGCCGAGATGTCAGGCAGTGGAGGTGAGGCTCTAGCTCCTTCCCTGGTGAGGTCGCCAAGTCGTGATTAGAGCTGCGTGCTGCTCTGTCTCTTCATTAACACTGTCTTACCCACAGAACCCATGCCGGGTAAGAAGAACTAGGCTCAGAGCCAGGATATCTGAGTTCAAACCCTACGTCTTTCCACAGGCCGGCATGTGACCTGGGGTAAGTCGTTTAAAAGTAAAAGTTAAAGGAGGCAAGAATATACAATGGAGAAAAGACAGCCTCTTCAATAAGTGGTGCTGGGAAAACTGGACAGCTACATGTAAAAGAATGAAATTAGAACACTCCCTAACACCATACACAAAAATAAACTCAAAATGGATTAAAGACCTAAATGTAAGGCCAGACACTATCAAACTCTTAGAGGAAAACATAGGCAGAACACTCTATGACATAAATCATAGCAAGATCCTTTCTGACCCACTTCCTAGAGAAATGGAAATAAAAGCAAAAATAAACAAATGGGACCTAATGAAACAAAAGCTTTTGCACAGCAAAGGAACCCATAAACAAGATGAAAAGACAACCCTCAGAATGGGAGAAAATATTTGCAAATGAAGCAACTGACAAAGGATTAATCTCCAAAATTTATAAGCAGCTCAATATCAAAAAAAACAAAGAACCCAATCCAAAAATGGGCAGAAGACCTAAATAGACATTTCTCCAAAGAAGATATACAAATTGCCAACAAACACATGAAAGATTGCTCAACGTCATTAATCATTAGAGAAATGCAAATCAAAACTACAATGAGGGATCACCTCACACCGGTCAGAATGGCCATCGTCAAAAAATCTACAAACAATAAATGCTGGAGAGCCTGTGGAGGAAAGGGAACCCTCTTGCACTGTTGGTGGGAATGTAAATTGATACAGCCACTATGGAGAACGGTTATGGAGGTTCCTTAAAAAACTAAAAATAGAACTACCATACGGCCCAGCAATCCCACTACTGGGCATATACCCTGAGAAAACCGTAATTCAAAAAGAGTCATGTACCACAATGTTTACTGCAGCTCTATTTACAATAGCCAGGACATGGACGCAACCTAAGTGCCCATTGACAGATGAATGGATAAAGAAGATGTGGCACATATATACAACAGAATTATTACTCAGCCATAAAAAGAAACGAAATTGAGTTATTTGTAGTGAGGTGGATGGACCTAGAGTCTGTCATACAGAGTCAGAAAGAGAAAAACAAATACTGTATGCTGACACATATATATGGAATCTAAAAAAAAAAAAAAAAAAGGTCATGAAGAAACTAGGGGCAAGACAGGAATAAAGACACAGGCCTACTAGAGAATGGACTTGAGGATATGGGGAAGGGGAAGGGGAAGCTGCGACGAAGTGAGAGAGTGGCATTGACATATATACACTACCAAAAGTAAAATAGCTAGTGGGAAGCAGCCGCATAGCACAGGGAGATCAGCTCGGTGCTTTGTGACCACCTAGAGGGATGGGATAGGGAGGGTGGGAGGCAGGGAGACATAAGAGGGAAGAGATATGGGGATATATGTATATGCATAGCTGATTCACTTTGTTATAAAGCAGAAACTAACATACTATTGTAAAGCAATTACACTCCAATAAAGATGTTAAAAAAAATAAAAAATAAAAGTACTAGTTACTGTGCGCCTCTAAGCAGCTGATGTTATACTAGGTGCTTTCCATACATCACCTCATCTAGTCCTCACAACAACTTCAAAGAAGTTATAGTGGTCCCGTTTTATAGATGAGGAAACAGGATTAGAGAGAGAAAGGGATTTGGGTAAATGGGTGGCAGGCTTAGAACCGAGGTCTATTTAATTCTAAAACTCTTCTTTTCTTTTTACAAAGTGCCTTTATTTGAGGGGAAAAAAGGATATCATCTCAAGTTTAGAGAAAACATATTTGCTTCTAGTCTCCCTCCCTCCCTCCTCCAGAAGGAACCACTGTCCTCCAGCCGGGAGCTGTGTTTCTAAATTTTTGTTCTTTGAACTTTTTCTGCCTTTGCAGATACCCATAAACAATGCATATCGTACTGCTGTTTTATGTGTTTCAAGTATATAAACAATTCACACTATATTTATCATTTGCAACTAGCTTTCCTCACCTAGTTTTTTTTTGTAACTGAGATATAATCAACATTGTATAAGTCTGCACAATGTGTTGGCTTGACACATTTGTAAACTGCAAAATGATTACTGCAGTGGCCTTAGCTAATACCTTTATCACACCACGTAATTATCATTTCTTTTTTTGAAGGGAATTGTTTGGATCTAGTCTCTTACAACCTTGACATTTGTTAATACAGTATTGTTGACTATAACCTCCATGCTGTGTATCAGATCCCTAGAACTTATTTGTTTACTAGTTGCCCACTTAGTTTTATGCTCTTGACTTATCAGTATATATTACTTATTTTAATTGCTATATAGTATTCCATAGTATGAATAAGTCAAAGGGTTTTCGCCCATTGCCCTACTGACTGTATGTATTACCTTGTAAATGTTATATGTTAACTTGTAAATATGGTGATGAATCTCCCTGGGCTATATTCCTAGACATAAAGTTTCACCTTTATTAGGAATCCGGAGCTGTTCTCTAAAATAGGCTGCACTGACCTACTACCTCTTCCTACGATCCCGCACTGACCTTCCTAGACCTTGCTTTTCTGATCAACAAAGTATAAATAAAGATAGCTGCCTGTGAAGGCTATGGTAAGAACCTGAATAGGGAGGAACACGTCAAGAACTATGTACAAATGTGAAGTGTCATGGCCATTGCTCATGTCATCCTCAGCATTGTCATGACCAATCCACACAGGGCCTCTTTCTCAAAGTCCTTGTTTAGAAAAACACCTCCCCTACAAAGCACCGATTCTTTGCTATTCTGATCAGAAGACTATAAAACAGTATTTCAAAAATTCCATCATTATACAAGCAAATAAATAGTGCTGCTACTTGCTCTCCACTTGTTTCACGCGAGTGTGATCACCTTCCTAACTCGAATGTAGCCAAAGACCAAGAGAATTCAACATGGGCTGTTTGTCCAGGAGACACTCAATAGATGCTTAATGTAATTCATAGTGAATATTTATCCAGTAGTAACCAAGTTCCCAGCTGTTGTGAGTGCTGGAAAGCCAAGTGCATGCCGGCACCTGCTGAATGTTTACTTGCCTATCTCACTTGACCCTCATAACAACCAAATGAAGTAACAAGTGCTGATATTATCCTCCTTTTGTAGAGGAAGAAACCAAGGCACAGAGATTAAGTACCTTGCGCAAGTTCACAGAAAGAGTCAGGATTTAAACCCACGCAGCCTGATTTCAGAACCCGTGATCTTAACAACTACACTCTGCTGTCTCTCTGTGCTTACTGAGTGAGGTTTGCCTTACATGTAAGATGAGAGGTCCAAGTTATTTACTATGGCATTTATATCCATAGGGCAAGCAACTCCTTATTCTTATGGTTAGACTAAAATTTAAAAACACTGTTCTGGGAGGCAGTTTCCCATAATGGTTTAAAATATGGGTGCTGGTGTATGCTAATGCACATATATGGAATCTGAAAAAATGGTACTGATGAACCTAGTGGCAGGGAAGGAATAAAGATGCAGATGTACAGAATGGACTTGAGGACACAGGCAGGGAAGGGGAAGCTGGGATGAAGTGAGAGAGTAGCATTGACATATATACACTACCAAATGTAAAATGGATGGCTAGTGGGAAGCTGCTGCATAGCACAGGGAAATCAGCTCGATGCTTTGTGACCACCTAGAGGGGTGGGATAGGGAGGATGGAAGGGAAGCTCAAGAGGGAGTGGATATGGGGATATATGTATACTTATAGCTGATTCACTTTGCTGTACAACAGAAACTAACATAACATTGTAAAGCAATTATACTCCAATAAAGATATTAACAATAAAATAAAATAAAATAAGGGTGCTGGAACCAAAACTAAAGGAAAAGCAGGAACCCAGAGGGGTAAGTAGAACACAGATGTTTCACTCTGAGGGCATTTGTATAAGGTGAATTTGATCTTTGGTTTTGATACGGGGGACAGGTTTCAAAGCCCAGGGCCTGTCAAAGTGGAAAGTCTAATAGAACTCCCTCCCCACATTAAGGACTCCCAACAGGCTATACCAATTAGGTAAGAATGAATCAGATCTCATGAATTCACAACTCTGGTGGTCCAGGACAACATATTTAAAGTAATTTGGACTTGTAATGCACCTAGGTACCCAGCACTAATCATCTTGAAAGGAAGTAACTTAAAATCTAGGCTTCATATTATTAATACAGACAATTATTTAAGAAAAAAAGCAGCACTGAATCAAAGATAAACATATAAGGAAGCAAGGCTGCAACAGGGAGAACCAGAAGAAATAAGAGACAGTATAAAGAGACCCATAAAGACCACAGATACTACAATTATCAACTACAAAACAACTCTGCTTACAGTGTTTAAAAAAACAAAAGGCAAAACTGGAAATTATCTGCAGGTAATAGGAGGTTTACACAGAGTTATCTAGCAGATTTGAAAAGATCCAAACAGACCTTACAGAAATGGAAAGTACAGTAACTGAAATTTAAAACTCAGTGGATGGGAGAACTATAAACTGAATAGAACAGAAGAAATTATGTAGAATGTAGCCTGGAGTGGCAAAGAAAATACAATAAAATGGTCTAATTAGTACTGTTTAATCTAAATTCTAGAAAGAGAATGAAACAGAGGTAAAATATTAACATAGAATATCTGACTTTTACAGAACTGATGAAAG